GCCCTTAAAGCAGCCCAGATTCCAGGGGCGCCACCTCCGCCCTTGGCAGGTTCAGCTGACTTAGCTGCTCAGCCAAGGCCTCGGCCAGCTGTGCCGCATCTGCCTCCCGGTTTAGGGCTCTTAGGGTTTAGGGCTTACAGTTTGGGGTTTAGGGTCCCGAAACCTCCGGTTCAGGGTTTAGGGTTTAGGCGTTTAGGGCTCTTAGGGTTTAGGGGTGTAGGGCTCTTTGGGTTAAGGAGTTCAGGGCTCTTAGGGTTTAGGGTTTAGGGGCTTAGGGCTCTTGGGGTTTAGGGGTTTAGGGCTCTTAGGGTTTAGGGGTTTAGGGCTCTTAGGGTTTAGAGGCTTAGGGCTCTTACGGTATGGGAGTTTAGGGCTCTTGGGATTCTGAGGTCTTTTCGGGTACAAAGATTTCAGCACTCACTCTCGGACATGCCTGGGCGGGGTTCCTGGGCTCAAAGGGTTTCGGGGTTTAGGGTTTTGGGGCGTATAGGGCTTAAGAAGGGTTCTGCACGTAGAGTTTAGGGTTTGCAGTTTAGGAGCTGGGAAGAAGGGTTTGGCAATTAGGCTTTACTGTAGGGTTTCGGGACTTCAGGAACCTGAATAAGGAACCCTGGGTCGCTAGTATTGATCTTCATAGGAACCCCAATATTTTGGTTCGGCCGAGGGTTTCCTACAGTTGGTATTGCGGCTGAGGGTTTTGGGGCTTCGCCTCCCCATCCGCCGAGGAGGATGCAGAGGACATGAGCACCTCGGATCTGCGCCAGCCATCTCTCGAGCGGCGTTTGGGGCATGGCTTAACGTGTACTGTAGAGTGTTTAGTTTTTAAGGTTCAGGGTGTAGCGTTTTGGGATAGACGGGGCCTGACGTAATACTTACGTATAAGTAAAATAGGATGCCCGAAGTTGCACAGGGTCTGACGACATATCTTACCATGGTCACCCCAAAGATACATGTTTAAATTTCTTAACTATTCCAAACGCTAAATTGGGATTTAGGGTATGGGGTTCAGGGATTTTGGGTTTAAGGTTTTGGAGGGGGGAGGTCGGATTCAAGTCTGGCGTTTGGCAGTTTAGCCTTGCTTTGCTAAACAGCTATACAATCGCCCTGAGTTCGAAAGAAACGGGAAACCAGCCAGCCAGTGAACGAAAAGCCACCTACAGAATTCTCTTGCACTAGCTTTCCTGAAGCCCTCTCAAACCTTCAAACGCCTGTACCCTCCACCACCAAGGCTCCAAACCCTCACTGAGACTGCACAACATCCCTTCCAAAGACCTTTCACCCCCGATAGAACCCCGAAAGCACTTTCTAAAAACCCTGTAAAGCATAGAACCCGCTCTACAGCCTTTTAGAGCGCCGGGGAGCTCGAGGGGGGCTGAGAGGCAAAGGCATCGGCCCCTCCGAGGTGGAACTCTCAGCCTGTTTGGGCTTGCCTACTGGTAGGCTCCAGGGTTTAAGGTGGTTTAAGGTTGAAGGTTTGGGGTTCAAGTCTCTAGGGTTTAAGGTTTTTTTTTTGACACCTTTGTCCAACTGCATGGTGTGGTTTAAGGTTCAAGGTTTGGGGGTCAAGTCTCTAGGGGGGGGGTTAGGGCTTCGTCTCTCAATGAGCCATCAGGACTCACAGCTGAGACAAGCCTGCCGAGGTCTCCGATAAGACGATAGCTCTGAGGGTTTAGGGTTTAGGGTTGAACTCTGAAATTAACAGCCAGCAGGGCAAGTCGGTGTCACCAGGAATTGGATTTTTGGGTTTAGGAGGCTTGGGGTGAAGCGGCTGAAGTCTCTAAGGGTCTCTTGTAGGCGCTCTCATGGACAGGCTTGACCAGGCTTTTTGATGCAAGGTGTCATTTATGAAACTGCATCTGGGCTTTTCGCACACAGTGCTATTAGGCTATGTGTGTTTTGGGGTGTGTGCATCGTCTCTAGGCCAGCGTCCCTTGCATGTCCGCCTCCCGGTGTACTGTTTAGGGCTTACGATGAGCCCGCAACAGATTTTGGCTGTGACTGATGTTTCCAGGTCTAGAAATCGGCTCCCGCGACATTGCGCGCGCAATTCTGTGCCTATTTAAAAGCCCTAAACCTTACAGAGGGCAGCTTAGCCAATAGAGCCCAAATCAATACGGTTCAGGCGTATATGAGTTCGGTTTAAGGTAAGGCTTAGGAATTATAGGACCTCAAACCCTAAACCTAAACCCCTAAACCCCTAAACCCCTAAAGCCCTAAACCCCTAAACCCTAAAGGACCTCAAACCCTTGTCAGGCCTCGACGTCGGGCTTCGTGGCCTGAAAGGGTCGTCTCTCCCATGCAGGTCTCGGCTCTTCCTCGGCTTAGGGGCGGCTTTTTTTTCTCTTTTTTCCGCTTAGGGCTTTAGGGGTTTAGGGGCTTAGGGGTTTAGGGTTTTTTTTTCCCTCCCGCTCAGCCAGGACAAGCCCGCATTGCAGGGCAAAGGGGTTTAGGGTCTAGGGCTTAGGGGTTTAGGGTTTTGGAGCTCTTGGGGATGTTTCGGATTGTTGAGGATATAGTTATATACGGGCAGGGTAAGGGCTGCAAATGGCTTCATTGTCATCATGAGGAAGGTATCGCGACAGTAGCAACAAGAGCTCAGATTCAGGGTTTTGGGTGACTGCCTTTTCGAATTCGTACCACGAACGGGGTGTTTCGGCTTCAGGGGGCTGTCCATGGGACATCATGAGACCCACATCCGTTTAGAGCTTAAGTTGCATGGTCCGGGCTGATGGGCTAGGCGAGCAGTCTTTGGCGGTCCTTGCGAAAAAGCTGAGTAAACGAGTCCGAGGCACAACTCCACTGGAAGAGGTTCTTTTCGGGTTTCGGCAGCGCCGTCTCTGATGAGCCACATTCGGGTTAAGGGTTTGAGGTTTAAAGGTTTTTTTGCTTAGTTTCTAAGAGATGAAGGTTTAGAGTTGAAGCTAAAGGTCGCATCTCCATGTTGACGCCCGAAAGACACTCAGCAAATGCTAACAAGCCCAACACTCGCGAAAAAAAATCAAAAAGCTCTGTCTTACCAAAAATTCACCAACATTCCATGAAACCCCGAAACATCCGAGAACAATGCCGAACTTCAGGTAGGGTTCAGGCTGTCTCTGTCTCGGCTCATCCGTGGGCTTCGGAACTTCCTCCGTCCGCCGCGGCTGGGGCTCCTCCGAGCTTCTGAATTTTTGGGTGCCTCTGGGGCTTCGGGGCTAAGAACTCTAGCATGGTTCCTTTAGAAGGGGCTTCAATTAAAGGGTTCTATAAACTAGTACGGGTTCCTTCATAAGGTTTCAATTAAAGGGTTCCATACCAGGGAATTTTTGAGGGTTCTATAAACAAGGAGGCTTTTAAATAGTTGGAATGAGGCTTCGGGGTGGGTTATGCATGACTTATCTTCCGGAACCCTAAGGAACAGTATCGGTAATTCTCCAGGCTTCTATCGCATTTTTTGAGGCTTCTATAGTAAGTAGGCTTTTTTAATTGGCGCTCACTGTGTAGGGTTTCATGGTTAAGCTTTGGCCTTTGGGGATGAGGTTGAGGTTTGGGGTTGACGCTCTAAACACCCAAAACCCAAAACCCTAAAACCCTACACCCTAAACCCCGAACCGCCTAAACCCTACACCCTAAACCACAACTCAAGTTGCAAAAGCCGAGCAGCCCGACCGCCTGAACGAGATCTCACCTTCTGTCCCCCGCAAGATAAATGCCTCTGAGTTCATTAAGGAAGACTCCGATCATTTCAGAGAAGACACCCTGCGCAGTTTGAAGAATATTTTTGAATTTGGAAAATAGTTCTGAATCTGACTAGTATTCCCTGACCTACGGAATGTTCCTGAACGAGGACATGCTGAGATCGTGGGGTTTCCATCCTATGGCACCTGAACCAACCAACGCCAACGAAACTCCGCAAAACGAGGTCCCTCAATCTGAAGGTCTGGTACCTGGGCCTGAACAGTTGATACAGGAAATGAGGGGCATCTTTTAGTTCTAACCGTACAGCTCTGCAGAACCGTGGAGAGACGCACCTTGTCACTGGTATTCTCACATGCCCAGGCATCTACATCACAGCCCTCACGCCCCCACATTCAAGCCGCCTAAAGTTGCAGCAGAGCAACCCTAAACCCTAAACCCAAGCCAAAGAGCCCCAGTACATCCTGGGGCCTCAAACCTAGTTTGACATTTAGCAAAAACAATTAAACAAACGGCGCGCTGCAGCCCTAGGCCCTCGAAGCCGCGAGCAAATCTCAACGCCCTGGAAGCCGAATTTAGGATCCTCCAAAACTAGAATAGGCTTGCGGGGAAAACGATACCATAACTTTAATAAGGAGCCCTAAGGAATAATATTGGTATTGAAGCTTGCGAGATCCGCCTTCTCTCGCGGTGGACTTGTCACAGCTGGTGCAGGAGTTGGAGGCGACTGTGGAAAGTCAACTAGCCTTGGGTGGGGCTGTTAATGCAAGGGTTTCGGCGCTCACACTCGGACTCTCCAGGGAGACATATGGTTCGAGGTCGGCAACCAAGTGAAACATTCTGCGAGTTCAAGACCCTATACAGTACAACCTCTAAAATGGGGAGGGTCTTTTAACTCGTTGAAATCCAGTTCGGTTTATGCAAGGGTTTTGGGCCAAAAGTTTTGGGGCGTGGTAGCATACTCTCTGCAAACCCGAACACTCTTCTGAATCTAGGTTCGTCAGCACCCAAGAAGCAATATACATTCCTCCTACAGCACCTAACTGCAGTATGCTGAGGTGGTGGAGCCACTGGCGCTCGGGCTCTTGGTTTAGGGTTTCGGGGTGCTCTAGCGGCCGGACGATGTTCAGGAACATGGCTAGGTTGCAGATTTCTGGGCTGGCAGGAGCTGAGGCAACCTGGACTAGAGAAAGGAATCGGAAGCGTAGTGTTGAAGCTAGGGTTCATGTTCTGGTGTACCGAGATTTAGATTTGAAGTTGGGGCTTCCGGTTGATTTCGGCACAAAAACAGCATCAAAGCACCTTCTCCAGAGAAGGCAAGAAGCAACTGCCCCTTCACGTTCCTGCCATCCACATCCAGCAGCTGCAGCCAAGTAGTGCCTCCATCCTCTTCTGCACAGGCAAGCCGCCGTCCCACCGAAATCTTCCTCACAAGAAAACTTCAGGGAATCGCGAGCTCGCCGCGAGCTGTGACCAGAAAAACGGAATGCTAGAGACAGTTTCTTCCCTAGGTAGACTTCACTACCTGGCTCACCCCGAGGCTCAGCAACGCGACCAATCAAAAGCAGGCAGCCGCCCCCACCCCAAACCGAAACCCCAAACCTCGGTTGAATCCATCCCTCTGGCCTCTACACAATGAATGCCCTGAAGCCCAGCTGTTGGAATCACCTGCCCTTTGGGGAGCAAGGCTGCCATGGGATAGGGTTGAATTAGGGTTTAGGTTAGGTCTCTAGTCAAGCCAACGAAGCTCGAACCACCGACATCATCGTTTTCTGTTTGATTAGGGTTTACGGTTTAGTTCTTTCTTGAAGTGCTCGGATGCTATGTAGGCGTTCTTAGGTGATGGGAGCGCTGAGACCCGGATCTACTATTGCTAGAAGCTAACCGTCAACCACGACCGCACAATCCCGCATCAACCCACCATCAACAAACCCGATAAAGCCGAATAGCAACAGCCTCTGTAACACACACACACACCCCACAACCCTACACAGTCACTTTGAAGACACTACGAATTTGAGAAAGGCTTCGGATCTTTATTCTAAACCCTCCAAGCTCGAAACAACCCTACACATCGCTTCAAGCAACCCCTAATTTCTGCATCCGACCAGATTTACTTACATACCGGTATACATTGTATACATATATACACACTTGCTCAGAAGTGTGTATTAAGTGCAACCACGATATGCGTGTGTATGTGTGTATATATATACACACATACACACACATATACATATATATATATATTTATTTATATATTTATTTATTTATTCATATTCATATTTATATATATGTATATATATATACGTGTATATGTATATATCTATATCTATATATATATACGTGTATATGTGTGTGTGTGTGTATATATATATAGATAATATGTGGTAACCCGTGAGAAAGATTTCGCCGAGTCGCAAGGAGCCCACGAGGTCCCCGCGCTCGTTCTGAAAGCCGCCCCTCAGGACTTCTAGAGATGGAGGGTTGAGGGGTTTGGGTTTAGGGTTCTTAGTTGCCGGGCTCACAAGCCCCAAGATGTGTAAACTTTCAGTTCCATAGTGCCTGTTATTGTCCCGAAAAGTACTAGAGGTTTTTGGACACTCACACTCGGACAAGCCAGGCAAGGTCTGCACGAGGGAGTTTAGGGTTAGGGTTCAGGCGCTTAAGTGTTTAGGGTTTAGGGATATAGGGCTTAGGTTAACTCTCTTCGTCAACAAAAAACAGGCACCCACGTAAGCTCTAAGTTTGTACTATCGGCCAAATAAAGAAGCCCCTAAAGCTTCAAGTTCTCCGCCGAGTAAGTTTATCCCCTTTTGCCATTGTTTTCATGGGGTTTAGAAGTATGCAGCAGGGTTACCGGATAGGTAGGTCAGGTAGGTTTGGCTTTCAGATTTGGGCCTAGGGTTCAGGGCTTAGGTCGCGGTTGCGGGCTTAGGATTTGGGGCTCACGTGTTATTGGCTTGTTTATAGGTTTAGGGTTTGGGGTTGGGTCAATCATCTTAGAATTAAACCCAATGGTTACTAATCATTACTTGTAGCTAGCTTTGTGTTGCTACTGCTAGAGTTCTGTCCCCGGCCTAACTAACCCATCAACGTAGAACCCTTGCATATGCCTCTACGAACCTGAAAATAAAACGCAGACCTGCCTAAACCCCAAATCAGCAACCCTGTGCCGAGAAGCAACGGCAACGCCGACGCAGAGGCAGCAGCATGCGAACGCAGGGCCGAGAAGCCACCCTGCTTGAAGGCCTCTGGGTGGGCAATCGCTTTAGAAGGTTCAAAGCAACGTGTTTCTCAAGAAGTCTAGAAGGTTCTGTGTGGTTCCATAGGGCCTGATTTTAAGGAATGGTTTCAAGGTCTTATAGGACATATTCACAATGAAATTATAAGGCGTGTTGCTCGAGCCAGGTTTTCTAGGCACATGCACCCTGAACATTCTTCCTGCAAGAGAGCCCCCAACGAAATCCTGGAATGACCCGAAGCCCTAGGCCCTGAATCCCGAAGAAGCCCCTAAACCCTTTTTCCCCCAAGAAAATATCCTAAGCCTACCCAGGCCCTAAACCCTAAACCCCTAAAGCCCTAAACCCTAACCCTAAACCCTAAGCCCTCAACCCTAAACTACTTCAGCGAGGAAGCTGAAATTCCACCCAGCGCGGCCCCAGCCAGGGTCGTCTTCTCAGGCTGTTCGGCCCCCTTCCTGCGATGAGGTAGGGTTTAAAGTTTAGGGTTTAGGGTTTTAGGTTTAGGGTTTAGGGGTTTAGGGGGTTTTCGGCCTAAGGCTTTACATGGGTTTAGCTGATATTCAAAATCAATACAGGTTTAGGGATTAGGGGTTAGGGTTTAGGGGGCTTTAGATCAAGGGCTTGAGGGTTTAAGGGTTTAGGGTATCAGGATTTTGGAGTTTTGGGTTGGGGGCTTCTGGGCTTTGGGGGTGAAGGGCTTTCCTGTCCTGTTGAGGCTTTTGGCAGCTCTGGCTCTGCCGGGCTTCCGTGTTGGGCTGCACTTCAGGGAGGAAAGGCTCAAGGGTAGGGTTTAGGGTTTAGGGTTAAAGACAAGCGGTCAAATCGAAAGCGACACGGAGAACGATAGGACTGGTACCAATAGAAAAAAGCAGGAACGAGAATCGTAGCAATCTCACACACCGCATTCAATGCCAAAGCCAAGCCTGCCTGATAGAATCCGTAAAGTTACCAAACCCTGATGAACATAGTAACATAAATGGACAGTGCAGCCAGGGCGTCTGCATGAGAAAGCCTTGACAACGACAAAGGTAGTTAGTTGCCATAATCATACATAGCCATAGTTTGTCATGGCATACCTAAACCCTAAACCCTAAACCCTTGTTCTTATCAGCACACTGCAGCCAGGGCGTCTGCATGAGGGCAATGTGGAGATGCGCGGAATCCACGAACTCCGCCTCAAAGCAGCGACTTCGTGGCAAGCGGAAGATGGCCTCCCTGGCCTGGCTAGGGGCATTTTTGGTGCTAGGGCTTTGGGGGATTAGGGTTTAGGGTTCGGGGTTGAGGGGTTTAGGAGTTTAAGGGTGTGTTTGCTTGCTTGTGTTTCTTGGTTTTCGGGTTTGGGGATTAGCAGGTTGTAAGGAGGTTTTCAAAAGGTGGTTGTCTTACCAGGGGTTAGCGGGTTGCCAATGCTTGAAGCCAAGTAAAATCATGCAGTTATCTTTAACCTGAAGCCCTAGGGACCTGAAGCATCGAAACAACTATCTCAAAATTTGAACCCGACACACCCAAACGGTCAAAAGAAGAAACTGGAGCGAGCTCCTTTGGACGGGCCTTCCACTGGGGCGCCTCATCTGGCGGAACAGGCAGCCAGGGAGTCACCTGCAAGTTTACAGCAAATGAGCCGGCTTAAGGGTTAGAGTTTGCTTTTTTCGTTCTCAGCTTTAGACTTTATATAGGGTTTGTTGTTAATTAACAATGAAAGGTTTAGGGTTCGCTTTTTTGCTTTTGGCTTTGTGGTTTGAGGCTTCGGGTTTCACGGCACCTGGAAGCAAACATGATGAGTTTGGAGCAAATGAAAGACTTCTTGGGGCTTTGGCCTTCAAAGCGCACTTTCTAAACTCATCTTCATCGTGGATGGGGATGTCAAAACTGGGTTCGCTTTCCAACACCCGCACACAGCTCCTTTAGGGTTATGGAAAACGCTATAGACTCTATTACAGTGACTGCGGGGAGGACGCCGGGAGCTTTAAAGAGTCTGGGCTTCGAAGGATTCGTGGTTTGCAGGCTTGCTGGGGTTCTAAATACCGCGCCTACAAGGGCTCCATTTGTAGGGCAACCTCAGCACGCAGATCCTTTCATCCCCTAGGAACTGACTGTTCAGGCTACGAGACGTCTCTCAGTTTGCCGTTCACGCTGTGTAAGGGGTTCGCAGCTACGCTGAACATGGCGTAGGGGATCATGATGTCTGGGGGCGTACCTACTGGTTCCTGGCAGGATAAAACATCTACGCAGTTCGGTTCCCTCAAACGGACCTCCTGAACAACGTGATAGATATTCTCACTGAGAATCGCCAGGGCGAGGGACCTCTGTTCCGGACTGCAAGTTCCGGGCATAATTCGGGCACCCATCATGTTGACCCCTGGCTCCCAAACCCCTGCTGGGGCTCCCTATACTGTGTCTTGGAGGCATCAGGAAGATGATGTTAGACCTGACCTGATGTTTAGGCCCTGGACCCTGAGCTACCTTGGCACCAAACTCTGCACCCTCGCGGTCCAGGGAGGTGCACCTGTGGAAGGGCGTAAGATTCATAAGGGCCTGATTCATTAGTGGTTTAGGGGTTCGTCTAGAGCTTCAAAGTCTATAAAACAATGGCCTTAGACAAATCGTCAGAGGATTCAGTTTGCAGGGACGGTTGCGGTGTGGGGTTTGGGGCTTAGGGTTTCGGGTGCGAGCTTCGGGACTTGAAATTTAAAGGGAGGAGCTGCGTACTATCACGGCAGGACCCTAAACTCTAAACCCTTAAACCCTAAACCCTGAACCCTTAACCCGGAACCTTAATCATTCCAGTCAGGTTCATGAGCCGCGCTTGGATATCCCTGGCTCTCAAAGCACAAAGCTTCGGCTCACAAGCAAACCTTAAACCGCCCTAACCCCTCCTTCCCGTAGGTTCTTACTAAGACCATAAGCCAAAACATAGAGGATATAGGCGTCCTACCACGGGCACCCTGCTGACTTGGAAGGTTTAGTTGCAACTGCCCTGCGGGAGAAGAAGAACTACGAACAGCTTCGGGGTAAGGCTGGAAGAATATGTGTGGTGCTTTGGTGTTTAGGGTTTATAAGGTGTTAAAAGGAAACGTGCTCCCCACAAACATTGAAGCGGTGCTGAGGCCGAGGCTTGCAACGAGACTTCCCAACTAGAGCTGGGAATGAGCTACTAAGCTGCAAGGACCAAGCAGTTTGACATTGGAGAACCGACGTAAAGATCTGGTTGAGGGTTTACGGCTGTACCTGGCTAGGGACCGAGTGGGTGAAGTGCGGGCTGCAAACCCAACATCTCTACATAAACCATGAAGCAAAGCTTGAAACCAAAACCGCCCGTTCACCAGCTACCTACATTAGGCTACGATATCATGTGTGTGTGTGTGCATACGCATGCCGTAATCCATGGGTGTATAAATAAGAAATTCCGAAGTGCCTTCTGGGCTGCGTCCTAATGATCATCAATCCCTAGACCCCCCGAGCCCCAAACGTTAAACCGTGGAGCCGTAAACCCTAAACAACCCCAAACCATGATTCCCAACCCAAAACCCCTAGAAACCCTGAACCCCACACCCCAACTTCAGCTGCGCCACAGCGTGATCACCAGTCGAATCTCGCCGCCTCTCTGTAGCCTGAGCCCTTGGGCATCGGAGATTCGAACTTTGAGCTCCACGGCCTCTGAATCCATGGCTCTGGCGTCGCCATGAGACTGCTCAGGGCCTACGGTTTATGACTTAGGGGGTTCAGGCTCAAGGCTTCGATGGGCTTAGGGTATCAGGGGGGGGAGGCTCTTTAAAGGATGCTTCGGGCTGTGAGGATCTTAGGAGACTTTTGAGGAAGCGTGTAGGGTCTATCTGGTTTTGTAAGCAAGGCAGATCCTTCATCGTGTTTGGGTCAGGCTCAAGGCTCAAGGTCTGGGCAGGAGGGTTCCGGTGAAGGCTCAAAGCTTACACCCTACATCAACGCAGCTGACCACCAGCCCCCTAAACCCTAAACCCCTACACCCCAAATCGGAGGAAGATGGGGACTTCGAGCCCCATGGTCTCTCTGACCGAATTGCTTTCAAGGTTTGGGGCCTTCAAAGGTTAATTACGGGGTTTTCGGGATGTAGCGTTTAGGGTTGTATAAGGTATGCCGAATGGTGCAGTTCCGTACTCCACAAGCCCTACCGTTCTAAAGCCGAGCGAAAAAGCTGCAGAAGCGCGCTTGCCGGAGAGCCTCCAGTGGACAGGAACGGTTTAGGGTTTAGGGCTTAGGGCTTAAGGTTTAGGGTTTAGGGTTTAGAAGCCTCCAAAAGCAGTGGGAAGTAGTAGGGGTCCATAAGGGTTGCTACAGTGGGGTACTGTAAGGGTGCACCATCTCAGCTCCTGTCGAGAACGAATGGAATCTAGTAGGCACCCAAATTTTGGAGCCCCTAGACCCTAAGCCCCTAAACCCTAAGCTCCAAAAGAAAGGGCCACTGCTCAGGTCAAAGTCGTCATGAGACCCGAGGCTTTTAGAGAAACCTTCTGATGGGCTGTGAAGTAACCAAGGGACAAAAAAGTATAGAAGACTTTTACTTCTTAATGGTGCCTTGAGGGGAAAATCACCTAACCAAGGGAAAGGAGGATAGACTCTTATTTCATGAGAATGGCTCCTTGAAGGGGAAACAACGTCACCCCAAACAAAGAAGGTAGACAAGTGTGGTACTTGCAGAACCCAGGTACTATAAACCCTAAACCCTTAACCCCTAAATCCCTAAACCCAGGTATGATGCCAAGGCCACCGTGGTCACAGTGGTCATGGCCCAGTAGAGTGAAGAGATGTACTGCGAGGTGGTGCTCTCGGGCTTGAACTCGTACCTCGGCAAACGTAATCTTGTAACCCTAAGTTAGGGTTTAGGGTTTAGGGGTTTCGGGGTTTAGGGGTTTAGGGTTTCACCCTAAACCCTAAACCCCTAAACCCCTACACCCTAAAGCTCCAAAAGAAAGGGCCGCTGCTCAGGTCAAACCCCAAACCCTCAGCCCCAAAACCCTAAACCACATTGTAGACAGGTCAGAACCAGGGGTTCTGTAAGCGGGTCGTTAGAGGGACTTTGGGGGGCCTTGTAGGGCTTATCGCCTCTACGCCTTACGGCTTTCCGGGCTTTCCGGCCTTTGAGGCTTTGGGGCTTTAAGTTGAAGGGCTTTAAGTAGGCTGGTTTTAGGGTCTTAGTGCTTAGGGCAGCACATGTAGCGCCTAGGGTCTGCCATGATTGTTTTTGAACCCCCTGCGTTTGAGTCGTCGAAGTGTGTGCCCGTGATCTGATCCAATTGTCCTCCCTGCCAGGTGCCGCATGACTCACATTATTATCCCGTATGCAAGCTGTTCTGCAGCAGTCCGTCCGTGTGAGTGACCCGGCACAAATTTCCCCCGCTAGAGACCGAAGCCTCTATTTCTCCAGCGCAATGATCAGCAAAATCCCTGAAGTCGCGGCATTATCATTGCCTAATTAATATGACTGCACATTCCGTTAGGGGATCTAAGCCATAGGGGGTTCAAGCTTGGTCATACAAGATTTCCCAGATCCAGGGTGTGCCTTCGGTATATAACCTACGGCCTAGACTCCCCCAGTCCCGGAAGTAGGATAGCTAGAACAACCCCTACCGTAAGCCCTCAATCCGACTTGTATATAATCCCATGAAGGTCAAAGGCTTCCTACGGAGACCTTTAGAAGAGACCTCCGAGGAGGCGCTTATGAATTCTTCGGCGTGCTTTCTCCCAAGCATGAGAATCAAACGATGCCTGCACCGAAAATCGAAACCTACAACCCCATAAGGGAACCCTTAAGGCACACCCCTGAGCTCCCATTGCAGTTGTAGTCCATCGCCCTTGAGGCGGCATATCCTAAACCTTGACGTGCTGAACGTTCTAGCCTGACGCTTCGACTGAAGCCCATACTGCGCGCCCTATTCGGAAAGGAAAAGCCCTACCCATAGGCCCCTAAGTAGTTCCCTTTCGTGGCTCATATTTAGGATCCCATAAGGTAATCCCCAAAAAGGAACTACTAAGGAGTTCATGGGTAAAGCCCTAAACCTGAAGGCCAGTTGTTCAAGCCCAACATCGGCGGTTGCGAAGGCAGGATGCTCATTGAGGAAGCCGTTTCCTGCAACGCAAGCGCTATGGCCACGTTAAATACAGAGGCCTTAATCATTGCACTGGGTAATAATAGGTATGGTATTGCAAGGGGCCGTAAGGACTTGTAGCATGAATTATGCAAGTTTTCATGTTACCTCCATGATAGATACAAGCTACCACAAGCTCAAGAATTCCGCTCGCTGCAGTGGGGGGTTCCCGCTCGAACGTTCTGTGGCTTGCAGCCGACAGACGTCGGGAATTACACAAGCGCTGTCAGAAAGCTGAGGACTAAAATACTAAAATGTGCAATGCAATATAGACCGAGGAAGCTGCAGGTCAAGTCTCTAACACACACAAACCCTCCCAGAACCCTGATTGGAGTGTAAGTATAACATGAGGATGGCCCATGCTTTCAGTCACATGGGGCTCATCCTAAAGAATAAACATCCCTGAACCCCAACCCTGAAACTCAACCGTAAACACTAGCTGAAGACGCAGTGGAGGCTCCTGAGATGGGCATGAAG